AAAAGGAAGGCGAACCCCCTCGGCAGCAGGTCTCCATCGAGGAGATCCTGGAGGAGCAGCGCGTGGAGCAGCAGGCCAAGCAGGAGTCGGAGAAGCTGAAGGTGCAGGCGCTGAAGGAGCGGGGCCTCTGCGTCCCACGGGCAGACACCCTGGATGAGTACTGACCCCTCATCCCGACGGGAGCCCCGGGAGCTGCGGCGCTCTCCGTGCTCCCACACGGGGCTTTCTGTGGCACAGATAACTGTAAAGAGAAGGAAATGATGCCTTTGGCTCCTCTCCTTGCGGAGAAGGAGGAGGAGGGAAGGCAGCCGCCTGCCCCGGGCACCGGGGAGCGCACGTCTTTGTGTTCAGAGGAAAACCACTTGGGTCCTTTTGGGTTGGTTTTGCTTTTTTTCCTCCTCACATGACTCTGGGTGAGAGTTTTTCCCTTGACCTGTAAATAAATCCTCAGTCTCCACAGCAATGGGTCTGCCTGTGTTCCCCTCCACCCGCATCCCAGCTCCCCTGGAACAGGGAGTGGGATCTGGTACCCCCACAGCTGAGCCCACTAATCACCTAATTACTGCTAATGAAGAGCTGCTGCTCCTGGGGCACCTCCTCACCTCAGTGCTCTGGAGGGGCTGCAGCAGGTCGGAGAGTCCTTTGTGTGGAGCTTGTCCCCATCCCGTTTGGAGCCAGCGGGAGAGGCTGGATTGGGATTGGCTTTGGGCAGGAAAGAGCAAACCTCGGTGGTGAGTGGAGGGTTCTCCCTGTGCAGCCTCTGTCAGCTCATTCCCTGTGCTGAGGGCTCCCCATGAGGAGGTTCTTCTCTTCCCAAGCACCTCGGGTTTGGCAGGATGAGCCCAGCTCGCACTGAGTACACTCAGTGAAGCCCCCATAGCCGGGGCTGGGCTCCCCCCTGCCCCACAGCTCCCTCCTGGTGGTGGGTGGGCTTTGCCCGGGTGGGACACGGTGAGTTCAGGCGGAGAAAAGGCAAAACAAGGAAAAGCCATTTGTGCTTTAACAACAGTAGAAGAAAAGGGGGGTTGGAGCTGTGGGGGACCCCAATCCCCTGCGAGGACGCGGCTGATTTTGGGGTGAGAAGGGTCCTGTCCCCAGGATGAGGGCTGGGTCCCTGCTTCCCTCCGTGACCGCATGGGCAGGATTGGAGCCACCTTCGCCAAGGCCTGTGCTGGGACACACAAGGATTGTGCATATTCCTTTACTTTGAGGTCCCCATCACAGAGTTGA